TTCTAGCTAATCTATAAATGATGCCTTCTGCCAGTCCTTCTCTATTCCATTTTTAAAGGCAGGTAGGTAATTTTTCTGTGATGTCTTAAATACTTTCCACCTGTTTACCCTTTCTTTTGGAAGGATGGAAAAGGTTTTTGTTTGTTTAATGAAAAGAAATATAAGAAAAACCTGCCTCAGATTTCTCATATTATTGTACCAGTTTATGCTAAGATCATAAGACTTCTGAATCTTAAATTAGGGACCTTCTCAATCAGAGATCATGAATACTTACACATTTAATTTATCATTGTTAGTATAAACTAAGGCAAGAAAAACGCCTGTCATATTGCAGACTGAGGCTGCAATATGGTCTCATAGGAGTTCTAAACCATTTTTTGGGTAACTGTCCTTTTCCAAGTACCAAGAGTTAGAGAAAATAAAGGGGAGAAAATAATAAAGGGCCTCAAATTGTGGGCTGTCAACAGTGTGGTGAATTTTGAACATCACTACATGTTAGGTCTCTGTGCAGATGTACCAAGTAGCAAACATGGAAAGCCAGTTTAAAATCTATTTCATTTGAAACTTTTTTCTATTAAATGATAATCATTAGGAGTAATAACATCATTTTATATGCCACCAAAACTTCGTATTCAGCAGAAGACTGAGCCAAGTAACCGAAGAGAACATTTCTATAATGCTTGCAAATTCAACATCTTCCTTGACATCATTTCTCTTAGTCTGAGCACTCGAGCAGGCAGCAGCCTGTCACTTACAGCCCCTGTCATTTCCTGTTCCAGTTCATTAAACCCTAGGCTTTCCCCAGAAACACACACTAACGTGGAGATCCTTCCGCCACTCAGAAAAGATCAATTCAAAGGAGGCAGGAATTGATAGGCAACTCTGAGTGCACATGAAGGCCATAATAAATTGCCACTTACATATGGACATATTTTGTAGGTTGACAATATGTGGGCGGAAGCTGCAGGAGCTTATGTTTAGACCTTACAGCTGGTGACTTATTTCATATTGACTGGCTTCTCCGTGGCTGCCAAAGGATGGATAAAGTTCAGAAGCTACAGCCAACATGGCAACTCTTTACCTTTGCCTTTCTTTCTAATAGATATCTCAAATAAGTTAGCAATACATCCCGTTCAGTTCTCTACATCATTTTGTGCCTCTTTTTTTCACAGGGATAATTAAAATTCTAGGACTCCAGAATCACATTCATAAATACATTTATAAACACCACTGACCACTCCACTGACCAATCACATGGCTATTGCATGCTCCCATGGAAACCAGAATAAAATAACATCCTGACATAGAAACAAGTGGGTCTAAAACAATGGAGCACATTTGATTTAACCTTAGGGAGGACGGAGACAAGGATGGAAGGGACTTCTCTCTAACTAGCTCTCCTCTTAACCATGAGTCAGGCCCTTGGAATTGCAAAGGCAACATGTAGCTTTCAGGAGCATGTTGCTGCCAGGAGTGGAAAGTATCTTAAACCTCCATTTCTCTCCTGGTTCTAAAGCAGTAGGCAAAAGGTCTGATTTTATTGGTTTGAAGTGGTCTTGCCATTGCCAAAGAATATATAAAAGAAATTATATACACATGCTCTCCTCCTAAAATGCCACCTCCTTTGTGAAGCTGTCTTGATTCCCAGCTCAGAATATATAGCATCCTACTCTACACTCTATCATATACTTTATACTTCCATTAATATTTGCACACTATTTTCTTCGTGAGTAATGTGTTTACAGGTCTCCCTCTCTTACTAAGCTGTAAACTTCCGTAGCTCAAGGACCAAGTCATTATCTCTGATCCCTGCAGTGCTGAGTGCTTTTATAAATGGTAGGTACAAAATACATGTTTGATGAATGAATAAATATGGTGGTATCAGCTTCATGATGACTGGAAGCTATGATGGTTCTAAGAGTTCTAATAAAAGTTGAAAGCAAATAGGATAAAGGAAACACCCTTCCTACTTAGCTGTTCCCTCCAATCTCTTATCTCTGTATTTGGTATCATGATTGTGCACATTGAAGAGGGAGACACATCTCCTGGGAGATGTCTCTCTGGGAATACATTTTATATTCAATATGTCAATCTTGATAACCCTCAAATAAACCGTCTTTTGGAAAAGATTTCCAAGATTAAACTGAATTTGACGGAGAAAGTTCCAATTATTCTAGGTCGGCAAAAGATAACTCTGCTTCCTGTGACACAGTATGCTGTCAGATGCCTCAGAAAAAACTCCACAATTCTAAACGCTGAGAGCATGACTCCATAAGACTCTACTAACCAGGTGCTGCCTAGATGAAATGTTCTTACAAAGAAACCCTGAATTCCTTTTAACTGAGAAGGAAAAATGGTCCGTAGCTCTGAAAGGACAAAGGTCTAACTAGGGACTGATTGATAAGCGACAAGTGTTTCAGGTACACAGTCAATTGACATACATGTTTTTAAAGAGAGAAAGATCAAATGTAGCCAACGGAAGTCATCTCAAATTCTCCCCCTCTCTTTTCACCTGTTTCACGTGTTATTTTATTATACCACTGGGTATAGGGTTTGACAAAACTTTAACAACTGGAGAATTTTGACAAAGGCCAAACTTCTGGTTATTTGGAAATTTCTAAACAATGATCAATTTCTACCACCATACACAGTTTCCCCTTCCAAAACAAACAAAAATACTTGGCTTTGACAGGGACAATTTCCAGTCTCTCATTACTGGAAGGCACAAAGGAAACTGGGAGATTATTTGAATATCATAGAGCACTTCTGAGTTCATTAGGCCATTATCCCCAGGGTTGGCTTTAATCAAAAGATTAAGAGTACAGGCTCAAAGCCTTTTAGTTGACAAGAAGCAAGTATTTGGCTTGGGATTTCTGTGTTTGAGTTGTAAGTCAGGTTCACAGAAAAGTAATCAGAAACTAGCCTGGCTGAGACAAAAAAGAGCCTTGAAATAAGAGATGTGAGACCATGGGTTGTACTTGTGACTTGGTCTATTAACAAGCTTAGGGACCTTGAGCAATTACTTAAACTCTCATCTGTAAAGTGAAGGACTAGACTTTGATGATTTCTTAAGTCCCCTGTAGTACTATCAATTTTTAATTATCTAATGTTGTTCCTTAAGTCATTGATTAGTTTATTTAATAATCTATTTGAATACTTCAGTGAACATAATAGAAGAAGTGAAAACTACACCTCCAGCCCTCAGGAGTTGATAAGCCAGTGGGAAAGGTGAAGGCTTTACCCACAGCTCCTAGCACGGGACCAGGCACAGTTGCTCATTTACCCGTTCAGGTTCTAAACAAAGATCACAGGAACCCAGCCAGGAATGAGGAAGGAAAGGAGTAAGACAAACTCCACAGTTCTTAGGAGGAGGAGAGGGTTATTTATTGCTCCAGTTCACCAACGTTTATTGAGTGCCTACTGTGTGCTAGCACTGGAGATCCTGGGGTGACTAAGCCAGACCAGGCCTCTGATGGAATTTACACTCTTATTCTAAGGTAGAAAGAGAAAGAAAACAGGCCAGGCGCTGTGGCTCATTCCTGTAATTCTAGCATTCTGGGAGGCTGAAGTGGGAGAATTGCTTGAGGTCAGGAGTTTGAGACAAGCCTGAGCAAGAGTGAGACCCTGTCTCTACAAAAAATAGAAAAAATTAGCAGTTGTGGTGGCACTCACCTGTAGTCCCAGCTACTTGGGAGACTGAGGCAGAAGGACCACTTGAGCCCAGGAGTTTGAGGTTACAGTGAGCTATGATGATGCCACTGTACTCTAGCCTGGGTGACAGAGTGAGGCTCTGCCTCAAAAAAATAAACAAAACAGGTTAACAATGAAATCCATATTGAGATAAATTTTATGAAGGAAACAGAATAATAAGTGAGACAGAATAGCTGTGTTTGCCAGGGGGTAGACTGCCATAGGTATAGGGCAGAGGGGGTGGGTCTTTGGACATGGGGGTACTTGACTAAGCTCAGACCCGAAGGCAGATGAAAATCAGAGAAGGGCCAACAGAGAGGGGCTAGTGGTCCAGCCAGAGAGGCAGGTACATGTTGGAAAGGGCTGGTGCCGAAAGACCATCTGTGTGTTGGAGCTTAAAAAGCAGTTACTTGTGGACAGTATAGGATTAAAGGGGCAGCTCTCAATAGAGGGCGATTTTGCCCCCCTCCCAGGGGACATGTGGCAAAGAAGGTCTAGAGACATTTTTGGTTGTCACAGCTGTGGGGGGGGGATACGATTGCTGAGGTTGAGAAAACCTGCACTTAAGGAATATTTTTACCCAAATTTTAGTTTTAGTCATTATGTTCTAAACTCATGTTCTCATCAACTTGGATCTTTTTCCCCCTTCCTGCAGAAACAAAATAAGAACAAGTTTCAAGTGGCCTACTCTTTCACCCACTCTTTTGGGAAATCCCATTGCAGAGGTTCAAGGGACTCCCGGAACTTTTGGAAAACTCCACAGGGTACTAAATACCTACCTGAACACAGGGGAAAGGACCTGAGGAGACACCCCCCAGCTGCTCCCAGAGGTTACCAGGGCGCATAGGACGGAGATTAGGGCTAGGGTGAAGAGGAGAACGCGCTCATGTTTCACTTGCATAATTACACATTGTTGTTAAAAAGAACACAAAGTCGGGTCCAGCTTAGGTTGACAAGGTTGGAGATGTCCTCAAAGCCTGGAAAGCTCAGCCCTCTGGACCTCCAGGCTACAGGTCTTCTCCCCCACGCCGCCAGCGCTGGTCTCGGGCCTCTCTGGGGCTCTTTGGCCCAGGGCTCTGCCCCCTATTAGCCCCAGGTCCTCCCGGCGCTACCCTGCCCTGGCCGGCCGCCTCACCCAGAGCAGGCAGTCCTCGTGTGCACAGCCCCACGCACCATGGCTCTTGCGGCGGCACAAGCTCGGCTCGGGTCCCTCAGGCCCGGGAGCGCGGTGCGAGCAGAAAGGCGGGAAACTCGGAGGGACTAGACTCTGACTGTGGAGTCTGGCGACGCTGAGAAGCTGAGGCCGAGGGGGCTGGCCCGCCGCACCCCTCTTTGCATATTCATGAAGCCGAGCAAGGCCGGCCACCTCAGCCAGCCATAGAGAGTAATGAATTATTCATGAGGAAGCATCTGGCCCCGCCCAGAAGGACCTAGTTGATTATTCATGAGCCCGAGTAGCTGGTTTGTACCGGAAAAGACGGTTGCGGCCAGGTGGGAGAGAGGCGTCGACCAGCTGAGGTGAGGGCGGTTCAGACATCAGATCTCCCGCTGAGGAGACCACTCGGCCTCCCAGTTCTGTTGTCTTTATGTTTAAAATTTTTTCCCGTTTTCTTTTTTTTTACTTGAATCTTTAAGTTTGATTTGCAAGCATTTCTCAGGGGGGGTAGTGGGGGTAGGTGGGGGGGAGTATTCTGAAGAGAAGTGGGAGGGCTGGTACTGAGGAGGGGGACGAAATGGAGGATAAGGAGAGAATTGACCTGGACTGCGAGCGGCCGCGTTCCTACCGTCCACGGGGAGCTTTAAAATTCACATTTTTGTGGAGAAGAAGGAATCAATCTTGGTGAGGAAGCTGCAGCCATAATTAGTCAGTTGGTCAGGCAGATGACATCTGTGTCACCATATTGGAAGGCGTCGTGTGAGGAACTTTTGGGGGTCATCTTCCCCGGGGCAAGTTTTTCTCCGGCGGTTGAGAAGTTCTGTCATAACCAATGCCTGGTTCAGACCCAGAGGTGGGATGAACCTACTTCCCCCCTCCCCACAACCTCAGCCCCTGTTGCACTTTCTTGAGAATTTGACCTTTAATCTCTGTGGATTTTGGTTCCTGAAACAGTACAGGGGAGAGAGTGTCTTGAAACTCCAGATTAGCCAACCACCAAAATGTGTTGGAGAGTGCAGAGCACTGGACAGGCTGTGCAGCACATCATGTCCTTCGCTGGTGAAAAATGGTATGGTTCTTGCCCCTCAAGGGGTTTTTAATTTTATTAGGATGATAATAGAATTTCTCCCCCATTGGACCATAAATCTCTTGAGATGGGAACATTATTTTACATTCTGTAATCCTGCACGATGACTGGCATATTATAGTTGCCTAGTAAATGTTGAATGAATGAATAATTGAAGTAGCATGAAAAAGGTATTAAAAAATCAAAAGAACATGAACAAATACCCAATTAATATGGTGGAAACCATTTACTCTGAGTGAACATGCAGTAAGGGAATTATCCAAGTGGAATTTGTTAAAATAGTGAATAATAATTTATTGAAGCAAGCTCTATGGAAGGTCTGAATAACTGGGTGAATTTTGGCAAACTAAGTTCTCTTGCTGAGCTTCACTGTCCTTTTCTTTATAGTTTTTGTTTATGTTTAGATCCATGATCCATTTTGAGCTAATATTTGTATACAGTGTGAGATTTAGGTTGAGGTTCTTTTCCTTCTCTCTTTTTTCTCTTTCTTTCTTTCTTTTTCTTTCTTTCTTTCTTTCTTTCTTTCTTTCTTTTTTTCTTTCTTCTTCATTTGAAGGTATTAATACCTTCATTGAAGGTATTAATGTTTTTCTTCATTTGAAGGTATTAATGTCTTTCTCTCTCTTTCTTTCTTTCCTTCCTTCTTTCTTTCTTTCTTCGAAGGCATTAATGTCCTTCTTTCCTTCCTTCCTTCCTTCCTCTTTCTTCCCTCCCTCCCTCTCTCCCTCCCTCCCTCCCTCTTTCCTTCCTTCCTTCCTTCCTTCCTTCCTTCCTTCCTTCCTTCCTTCCTTCCTTCCTTCCTTCCTTCCTCCCTCCCTCCCTCCCTCCTTCCTTCTTTTCTTTGGATGACCTCTTCCAGCACCATTTGTTTAAAAGACTAGCCTTCCTCCACTGAATTGACTTTTCTCTTCCTTAAAATGAAGGGATTGGATTAGTAGTAGAGGAGTAGTAGTAGAGCTGCTCCTTTCCAGCTTTATGAATCTATTGATCTCATTTATGTTGACATGCACTTCCTGTGAATAAAGTCATTCATTCTTCATTTACGCACATGTAAGGAAGGTCATCTAGTTGCATTTCAGAATCCAGCTGTGGGATATTGTTCACTAGATAGGAAGGGTATTTTCTTGTAAAAAAAGAATGGTTTGGTCGGGCGTGGTGGCTCACACCTGTAATCCTAGCACTCTGGGAGGCCTAGGCGAGTGGATCGCTCGAGGTCAGGAGTTTGAAAACAGCCTGAGCAAGAGTGAGACCCCGTCTCTACTAACAATAGAAAGAAATTAATTGGCCAACTAATATATATAGAAAAAATTAGCCAGGCGTGGTGGCGCATGCCTGTAGTCCCAGCTACTCAGGAGGCTGAGGCAGAAGGATTGCTTGAGCCCAGGAGTTTGAGGTTGCTGAGGTTGCTGAGGTTTGAGGTTGTGAACTAGGCTGATGCCATGGCACTCACTCTAGCCTGGGCAACAAAGCGAGACTCTGTCTCAAAAAAAAAAAAAAAAGAATGGTTTTTGGAAGATTGAGAAAGATGGGTAGAGACCCATCATAAATCAACTATGATTATCTTTGGGCAAATATAATAAAACTTTGGTTTTTGCTTCACTTGAAATGGACAAAAAAATAGAAAAGTTGATTTAGGCCTTAATAAACTAAAGAACAGCTGGTTAATCTTTATCTGAATCTTGAATTCAAATAGAAGGGATCAAATAGTAAGTAACTGTGCCATCATTTAAAATAGGGCAATTGAGATGTAGGTCAAGAAGTAACCCTGGAGTGAATCTTTATCAGAAAAACACAGAAATCTTTTTTTTTTTTTTTTTTTTTTGAGTCAGAGTCTCACTCTGTTGCCCAGACTAGAGTGCCATGGCATCTGCCTAGCTCACAGCAATCTTAAATGCCTGTGCTCAGGCGATCCTTCTGCCTCAGCCTCCCGAGTAGCTGGGACTACAGGCATGCGCCACCACGCCCGGCTAATTTTTTGTATATATATTTTTAGTTGGTCAATTAATTTCTTGCTATTTTTAGTAGAGACGGGATCTTGCTCTCGCTCAGGCTGGTTTCGAACTCCTGACCTTGAGTGATCGGCCCACCTCGGCCTTCCAGAGTGCTAGGATTACAGGCGCGAGCCACCGCGCCCAGCCCAAAACACAGAAATCTTTACTGTTTCCCAAGAAGATCATAATCCTTGTCACAAAGTGGACATATCAAACATATGAGTGAATGGTATTGATGCCCTGGGAAGTTTTAGATGTTTGTGGATCTAATTTGCAGGCAGATATATAAGTGAAGGACATTTGAAATTTAGAGTCCAGCTCTTAAAATCCATAGTTACGAAATCTCTTCTAGATTTTTAAATAATGAGTCAGAACAAAGCAATAACAAAAAAAAAATAGACCTATTCTCTGAGAATGTATGATCTCTAGAGTCATACATCCTGAGGTTTTTAATGTGTGAGCTTTCAAAACTAAGCAGGGTTTGTACTTGAATAGGAGACCTCCACAGAACACCTGCTCAAAGGGAAAACAACAGTAGCAACAGAATAGTCAGAAGTTTAAAGGAGTTTGCCTATTTTGAAAAATGACTTAGATCTTTTTGTCTTCCCAAAGCAAGCTCATTCTAGAATACCAGAAACAGACTCTACCATGTTTAGAAATAAACAAGCTCAACAACTAGGGAGGCACTGGTAGTACATCATATTAGATAGAATGAAAGCAAAGGGGAATTTAATTTGGGGGAGTCAGTCTAGAAATACTCCTAAATTGTGAGTCATACCTCTGGAGTTTTAGTCTCAGCTCTACCATTAACTGGCTGACTAACCCTGGGTAAGTCACTGATTTTTCTTGATCTTGATTTCCTCATCTAGAATACGGATATTTGGACCATATGACTGTCTTAGTCCATTTTGTGCTGGTATAACAGAATACCTCATCCTGAGTAATTTATAAAGAACAGAAATTTATTGGCTTATAGTTCTGAAGTCTAGGAAGTCCAAGATTAAGGGGCTGCATCTGGCATGGCCTTCTTGCTGCATCATAACATGGCGGAAGGCATCACATAGTGGTGGCAGGGGGAGGTTGCAAGGGCACTGAACTCGCTTTTATAACCCACTTTCTTGATAATAAACCTGCTCCTGGGATGACATTAATCCATTCATGAAGGCAGAGCTCTTGTCACCTAATTATCTCTTAAGGTCCCACCTCTCAATACTTGCATTGGGGATTATGTTTCCAACACACAAACTTGGGGGGACACATTCAAACCACAGCAATGAATTTAAAATTCCTCCTACCTCTAAAATTTTGTGACTTTTCCCCCTAGACCCTTAATTCTTCCTTGTTCTTCTAGTGCTTCTCTATTGACTTAGCAAATATTTATTGAGCATCTGCTTTCTTCCATTATTGTGATAATACTGAGGATTCAAGAATGGGCTAAACAAGGCACAACAGGTCACACATGGTATGATTCCATTTACATGAAATGTTCAGAATAGTCAATTCCATAGAGACAAAAGGTAGATTAGTGGCTGCCTGGGGGTAGGGGAAGGAGGGAATAGAAGTAACTGCTTAGGCATAGGGTTGATGAAGTGGGGTGATGAAAATGTTCTGCAATTATATAGTGGTGATGGTTGCATGATTTTGTGAATATACTAAAACCCACTGAATTGTACTTATAAAAAAAACTTTTAAAAATAAATAATGAGCCAGACAGACACAATTTTGCCCTCATTTTAGCTCTCAGTAGGTGGGGTGATACATAAAGGCAGCTATGATACATTATATGTTGCAATGGGCACACAACCCAGACTTGGTAGTGGTGGTGGTGTTAATCAGGAAATAATTCCTTGAGAAAATTATACTAAGCCGTATCTAGGAGATGAGTAGGAACTGGGAATGGAGGAGAATGTTTCAGGCAGATGGAATATTGCAAAAGCCTGAAAGCTAGAGGGAATATAGTTCTTTTAGGGTAATTAAAGTAGATAAGAATGGCTGGTGCATACAAGTGTAAGGCAAAATGGTTAGAGATGAGGCTAGGGAGGCATAAGCCAAATCTTGAAGCCATAATAATGATTTTAGATTTTATCCTGAGGGTAGTGGGAAGCTATCAAAGTATTTCAGTGTGGGAAATCACATAATCAAGTTTATAATTTAAAAATAAAACTCTGACTGCAATATAAAGAATAGACTGGAGAAGGGTAAGGCCAGTGACAGGAAGATTGGTGGTTGCAGGAGTCTAGGCAAAAGATGAGGCTGGTTGATCTAAAGTAGAGATAACAACATG